TATATATATGTGTGTATACACGTCGACACACTCGAAGTCATACTGTCATAGTTGCATCTTCACACATACACACACACACTACTGTAGCTTAAGTTCACTCACTAACAGTCCTCTATACTATGGGTTCTATTGTTGGGTGTCTTGGCTAAGATTATCTCCTGTATGATGCGCTCACTCGATAACATTAGCATGACACACTCACACACGCAGGCACGCACACACACATGCACACATGCATGCATGCACACACACACACACATCCACATACACACACAGACTTGCACACATGTTTACACACACACACACTCACTCACAGTCACACTTTTGTATTCTCACACATACACACACACACACACACACACACACACACACACACACACATATACACACACGCGCTCATACAAACACACACACTTGCACTCACACATGGTGTACTTGTACTTACACCCGCTGACATACACACATGTTTAAACCACATAAGTCAATTCATACAGTTTGATGACCCAAGCACCATGATTTTCTGGATAAATCCATAGCGCTGACTGCAATGATATAATGCGTGATGAGGTGGTGGAATCAGGCGCTTGTCGATTTTTGGGCATGTGGAGTTATTGGTATCATCTTAAAGCTTGCTCGTTGTCTTGCTATGGGTGAAAAAATGCCCATCTATCTTGAATAGAAGATATTTGAGATTGAAGAAGGTGGGGTCGACTGGTTTCAAAGGTAGCTTGATTGTCCGTGGAAACTGAAAACTTACATATTTGTTTTGCCTTCAATCATCGTTTTTTTGTAAAATCCACCCAGAAATGTGTTTTTAATTGGACGACAATGATGTTGAGCCAAAGAACCAAAAATTCGATAAAAATTGCCAAACTGTCAGAAAAATGCCAGTTTCTTCAATTTTGTTATTTTGACGAGCGCCTGATTTCACCACGCTGCCTCTCATGTATAGATAGTTCACTACCACATCATGTTTTTTCATTGTAGCGTGCTTTGGTGGATGCAGTGAGTTTCACACAAAAGAAACTTTATGATTCTTGTCATCTTAGAAGGGAATGGAGGACACAAAAGTGTTGAGAATCCTGTTAAAAAATGATATGACAATGTCCACTCTTACTGTGATACCGTCAGCAGTGTGTCAGTACATCCTATTAAACATAATCTGTGTATATTATACACAAAAAAGGCCATGTCTTTTTAAAAATAAAATTTAGCTTCCCTTTTGATATCGCCATTTTTTTTCTCCAGAGAATTAGTTTTAATAAGTAAACATATCTTCATTTTTCTAGAAAATAGATTTTAAAAAAGTAAAATGAAGAAATAATATAAGATAGCGATATGTATATAGGGGTCTGGTCTGATTAGTTTTTCTTCCTCTAACACTGATTTATAAGTTGTAAGTTGTGTGTCTTCCTCTTTGTGTTTAGTCTCAGATTCACCTGATCGGCAACGTGGTCATCTGGTACTCATCTATGGCTGGAGTCCTGGGGTTCTTCGCCCTGCTGGTGTTCTACCTACTGCGCCGCCAGAGAGCCGTGTTTGACATCAGTGAAGGTGAGAAATGAAAAGTGTGATGGGTGGGGTCTCTCTCTCTCTCTCTCTCTCTTCTGGCGCTGTGGCTTCATAAACGGTCAGCGATGCCGACAGCACGCAGGAACTCAACACTCACCCGGGGGTCTTTAAAAAGTGCTGAAAGTGGGTTACTGAAATGTCCCAGCAGACAGGTGATGGGTGGGGTGGAAGGAATGATGGCTGTCACTGGTATAATTGATTATTTTACTTGTTTCATATTTGGCAGACTCATGTCCCTTGTAGAAGTTGCGGGTGCCTGGAATGCGCCACACTGGTGGTACGTCCTCTCTCTCTCTCTCTCTCTCTCTCTCTCTCTCTCTCT